CTGTCCCTACTGAAATGGCGTGTGTTACATTTTCTTTCTAGGAATAATGGCACAGAGATTCACAGTGAAGTTTGTGAGCTACAACAGTGGTAATGAAGAGGAGCTGTCCGGAAATCCGGGTGAGACGCCCCTGCCAGTCACGGGCTTGCAGACGTATTCCAGACTCTAGCATGCTTCTAAGTCACTCTCTCCATTTTAGCCTGTGACTCTGACCTTTTCGTTATTCTCTTTTGTGACACTATATTTTAAAACTCCTTTTGAAATTGCCAGGATGGGGGACCAGTGGATGGCATAATGGCTATGTCCCCGGACTCCCATGTAGTTGATCACGGTTCGAGTCCTGGACCCGATGGCTTAAACTCATGCTAGGCGTACGTGCGTGCCCAAGATAGATCCCGAGAGGAGAATGGAGAAGTGATTGTGGCGTAGCCATCCCCCCCCGGGGGAGTGATTTCTCGCTCTCTGTCCCTCTCTGTCTTTCTGGCGAGTACACACACCCTATAGCAAAAACCTTTCAAAAAAAAAAAAAATGAAAGGGCAAGCCAGCTAAGAGCAGCTCATCTGGATACAGCCACGTCTTTCTGTCATTCATGAGTCCAGGCTAGTTTTAGGAGGACTGTATGACAGGGGCCCTGTCTTCAAGGAATTCACCATGTAATTCAGAGAGCACCATTGCAAGAAACACTAATCAGGAGTCCATGGAACCAGGGAGTGCACTGGTATGGGGTGGGCTTACGGACGGGCACTCTGCGACCCCAGAGCAGCAGGAAGTCAGCCTCTCCTCGTTCCTTTGTGTCGTGACGGCACTGCGTGGAGTGAAGGGCTGCGCAGTGTCTGGGTGTGCTGAGCACCGCTGTCAGCCCTGGGGGAAGTGGCGGGCATGGCAGGGCCCTGCCCTCCTGGAGGAGACTGTGCCTCGGAGAGCACACAGTGCATGCTGGGGACAGGACGGCCTGGGTGAAGCCGAGGAGGCCTTGGTGCATAGGAAGGACGCAGGGGCAGGGTGCAGATGCCGGGCGGAGGGGCGGCTGGAGGCTCAGGAATGGTGGGGACTAAGGTCAGAAGTCGAAATGGTGCACGAACCTGGATTGGCCCCGGTTTATAAAACGGTTGCAGACGAGGAATGTGTTTGCGAGGAACTGAGGATGTGAGTATGAATTGGGTATGTCATGTTACAAGGAGTTCTGCATTCGAGCACACACACATACTCACACGTGTGTACCCACACAACTACGTGCATGCTTATCTGAAGTGGGTGACAAGTAGGGCCATTAAAGCTGTAGATTCTGGGTGGCTATGGCGGTAGTGACAGCATTCCTTTCAGCTTATGCGTGCACATGCTTCTTTTTATAAGAGAGATTTTTGCTGTAGGGTGCGTGTGCTCGTCAGAGAGACAGAGACAGAGAGTGAGAATTCAACCCCCAGGGGATTCATGGCCATCCTTCACTTTCCTATTGGGATCTTGGGCACACATGCACACAAGCCCAGCATGAGTTTTAAGCTGCCAGGTCTAGGACTTGAACCGTGGTCAGCTATGTGGGAGTCCAGTGAGGCAGCCATTACTCCATCTGCTGGGCCCCACGTGAGCACTTTCATA